TCTGTGGTAGATGATATTTTAGACGACACGTTCGAAATCTAGAAAAAGTAAACCAAATAAAAAAAATGTTTAAATTATTTGTAAAATCAATGCTTGTTCAATTTTATACAGGATATTAATGTTTCTACCGTTTCTTGAGTTCCTTTAATAGTTCCTTTAACATATGGATTTTCTCCAACATCTTTGATCGTGTCCGAAACTTTGGTTCCAATCTTTTCTACAGATTTTTTGAGTCCGTCAAGTTTTTCGGATCTCCGTATTGTTTCTTCCTTAAATTCATAATATACGTTAATAAATTTACAAATCTGATTATTATTGGCGTAGTTCATTCAAAAATCCCTCTAGTGGGATAGTAAATTGCTGAATTCATGCTCATGAGTTATCTTATGACAGGTACTCTTAACCAGAAATTCGGTGTATGAAACTGTTAAAATATTCATACCCTAGCCTTAACATAAGCTTCTTTCGCTTTTTTTAAAGTCTCAGATTCCCCTAATTGATCTGCCTGGTCTTGTAATAATTTAACATTTTGTTGAAATTCTTTGTTCTTTTCAATTTGTATCTTAAGATTTTCTACAAATCTCGCAAATAAACCAACATTGCGAACAAAGACTGGTCGATGGAATATACGATTTTTTGTTTTCGAAGCCAAGAAGACAGTTCGTGAAAAAGAGCGAATCATACTTATTTTAATTAAACTTCTGAAATTTAAATCGTATCCACTTAAAAAAGATTTTGCTTATCGTTATTTAGATTGATAAATATTGTCAATTTTAAAAAAAATTTTTTATTGGAAATTTTCCTATCACGTGAAAATTGACAAAAATTCTTTTATGTTCGTTCACTTTAGGTTAGCACTAGGGTTGTTAATGGAGTAGCTTACTCCAGAGCACTCCGGAGTAAAACCCAACCCAAGTTGGAGTGGGTTTAAAATTATGCCTTTAAATTTGGTGCAACTTGGAGCAACTTGGAGCAACTTGGAGCAACCCGGGCAAAACATTGTAGGAAGTCTAATTTAGTGGAGTGGGTTGAAGATTGGGTCAACCCAAACCAACCCAACCCATTAACAACCCTAGTTAGCACATATATTAGGGTTCGACATTAGCAGGTATATAGTAAAATTAGTTTCTTATGCAAATTTTTGAAATAATACAAAACGAACGTTTGTTTTGAATCCCCTAATCGATCTTCGCCCTCGACACGTGACCGTATTTGTGACGTACTAAAAAATCTTCAAGCTCGTTTAAGTTCAGTCTGGGAATATACCAAATTTGGTCATCGATGATCTTACCTTATTTGGTAAATGATCATCAGTCGGATGATTC